AACGCAGTATTCCAGGTGGGGTCTCACGAGAGCAGAGTAGAGGGGCAGAATCCCCTCCCTCGCCCTGCTGCCCACGCTGCTTTGGATGCAGCCCAGGACACGGTTGGCTTTCTGGGCTGCCAGCGCACGGTGCCGGCTCATGTTGAGCTTCTCATCCACCAGCACCCCAAGTCCTTTTCCTCAGGGCTGCTCTCAATCCATTCTCCACCCAGCCTGTACTTGTGCTTGGGATTGCCCCGACCCACGTGCAGGACCTTGCCCTTGGCCTTGTTGAACTTCATGAGGTTCTCGCAGGCCCATCTCTCCAGCCTGTCCAGGTCCCTCTGGATGGCATCCCTTCCCTCCAGCGTGTCCACAACACCACACGGTGTCATCTACACATTTGCTGTCGTGATGAGTTCTGCTGATCCTGAGACTCATTGCAAGGAAAAGATACGAAGCAAATGGACAGTTCTATTCACTAGCTGCCAAATAAGCAAAGCACTAGGGAACGGGTAGATTTGGTTCCCTTTCCTCATCCCTTCACCTGGCACAACTGCCAAGCATACGGACCACAAACAAACAAGAATTTAATCAGAACTAGAGACGGAATTCTGCTCAGCCAACTCTGGATACCTATGTCTCTGGGCTAGCTACCCAATTCCCTTCTGAATCAAAGGAAAAAAAACTGGGCATCCTTAATATGACCTATTTTGGACATCTAGATTAGGGTAAGATGAAAGAAACGCCTCTCCAGCGAGAGGAGAGCTGGGTGAGTGCTTTGGAAGCAGTGGTCTTACAAAGGAAACGACAACACCTGGGTGAGATGTCCCCACCCTGAGGAGCACATAGATGGAAATTCCATGTTTAGAAGGGAGTTTACCACTTACTGCATCATTGTCTCATGACAGCAGTCTCCAGTGTAGGGTAGCAGCAGGGGAAGGGAAATTTGAGGAGACGCAGAATAAATGGAATATTCCCTGACAACAACAGAGGAGAGACTTTTGAACAAAGCGAAGAAGCAAAGGAGTTTCTCACCTCTGAAAGGAATCTACTTCTTGTAGGAATTTTTCACACATTCCAAAAAGGGGTTCCACTCTGCAATGAAGATAATATTCCTTAGTTTAGTTTTAAATAAAGAAAACTAGCTCAATGGTTGCTAACATTTAGGAGGTTTGGAATCCAATTCAAGTGCCTAAAAACTACAAGATCTTACCATTTTGAGGCCAGAAAGGTGCTCCCCAGAAGAGAAAAAATAAAAATTAACTGCCAACTCCCTCCCCACATCCATATCCTCCTCCAAAAAATCATTTACATAAAGCACTAATTAAGTACCCAAAGCCACTGTTAGAAAACATTAACTTTCCATCTATAAAACAAGAGGTTAAAAGGCAAATATATTGTCGACCTCTACGACTTTTCCTCATTTAAACAGGTCCCAAATATCAACTCTACAACATTTTTAACCTATTTCTATGTTCATAGCCGACGAAACTCAACCCCCAAACTGCATCTTCCTAATAATTTTGTCATCTAATTTAGGATTGTGTCACTCTCCAGCTAAAGAAGGCTCTTCACGCTGAATTAGTTTAGCAAACGGTTACTGGCATGCCGTGGTGTTTGGTGTGTCTCATTTATCCTTACTGGTTTTTTAAACAAAGCTGGAGGAAACTAAGCTTACAGTTAACCCTACGAAGACCCTCCTTCCAGGTGATCCTTACCCTCTGGTGGTCCGAGCAGTCACTATAAGCTGTAAGGCCTTCGCCTGCAGTCTCATGTGGTGAATGATGACCACCTGCCTGCTCTCCACGCCGCTGTACATGAACTCCATTTTATAAGTTTCTTCCAAGATCTGCCAGACAGACACCACAGGGACAAGAAACCATCAGGCTTGGTTAAAGTCCTGCACAAGCACCATCACAAGATTCTGGTATCTCTCCTCACACCGACAAACACATTAACCCGCGAGTCTCGCTCTCTCGGTGAAATTCTTCGCGGCGTAAAGCGACGCCTGATACGGAAAGGTTATCTTGGCTATATTAGAGAAACAATCCATGAAACTCGGCCGGGAATCAAGCACCCCCTCCATCAGCAGTCTATCTCCTGACATTGCATTTTAGATTTCGAGGGGTGGAACGCTCACCGACTCCCACTGGCTACTCTGGAATACAAAACGTTGAGCAGCCCAGAGAAGCTTCAGTGGCCCGGCTCAGGTTTATATTTTTGGAGCTAGATCTGACCAAGTTCTCTTGGAAATAGCTTCAGACTCGACAAGGCTTTGCATACTGTAGCTGAAGGTGAGAACTACCAGACCATGAGCATCAGCCTCAGTTATTTCAGACAGGCAGTTGGAACCTTGCGCAGTTTTACTCCTCGTACTCAAGTAGACAAGAGAAGTGCTCGAATTAACACAGCTGAGTGCAGCATGACTGTAAGAAGCCAAGAACCTACAAGTTCCTTGACAGAAAACATTCCCTCACCTTGCATTCACGGGAAGTGATCTACATTCCCAATCCCAACAGATAAAACTTCCCAGGGGGTTCACGTGCTACTGAGAAGGGCACCCAAGACAGACAGCTCAATTAGAGAGGGTTTTAAAAGCTGACAAGCCTTTGTTTCTCCTCATCCCTGGAGACAGCTGTCAACAGCATTGAAGGTTTTGATGCACAGCAGAACCTGCCTCTTGTTACATCTTAATTAACTGAAGACTCAAAACGTCAGCATAGTTTCCCAGCGGATCCATGAACTCGCTTTTACTTTAGATTTGTTTCTAGATTATTTAATAGCTTGCTTTCTCCTTTACCTTTTCCTAGAGCTTAGCTTCCGTTTTTCCATGATCAGGTCGTTTATACATCACAGAATCACAATAACTCAGGTTAGGTGAGACCTCTGGAGGTCATCTAGCCTGGTGCCCAGATCAGACCAGGTCTAATTAGATCCAGTTACTCAGAGTCACATCAACTTGTGAACACCTCCAAGGACGGAAATTCCCCCCACCTCTCTGGGCAACCTGTTAACAGTATTCAACCCCCCTTACAGTAAATTCCGACCAGGTCTAATTAGATCCAGTTACTCAGAGCCACATCAACTTGTGAACACTTCCAAGGACGGAGACTCTCCCCATCTCTCTGGGCAACCTGTTACAGTATTCAACCACCCTTACAGTAAATTTCCCCCCCCTTATATCTTATCAGAATTTCTCATATTCCAACTTGGATTCATAGTCTCTTGTTCAGAGCAGTTTGGATCCGACTCATCTGTATCCTATGATGAAGCAGTGGTAGAGAGCAGTAAAGCTTCAGGGAGGATTTCTCCTCTCCAGGCTGGACAAGCCCAGTTCCCTCAGCCTCTCCTTGCAGGGAATGTGCTCCAGCCCCTGACCACCTTGGGGGCCCTCTGCTGAACTTGCCTCAGTTTGTCAGCATCTTCCTTCTACTGAGGAGCCCAAAACACAACACAGCACTCCAGATGTGATCTCCCTAGAGCTGGATCAAAGAATCATAGAATGGTTTGGGTTGGAAGGGACCTTAAAGATCATCTAGTTCCAACCCCCCTGCCACGAGCAGGGACACCCTCCACTACACCAGGTTGCCCAAAGCCTCATCCAACCTGGCCTTGAACACTTCCAGGGATGGGGCAGCCACAGCTTCTCTGGGCAACCTGTTCCAGTGCCTCACCACCCTCTGAGTGAAAAATTTCTTCCTTATATCTAATTGAAATCTGCCTCTATCTGGATAGAGAGGATCACTTCCACACATCTGCTGGCTACACTCTTGCTGAGACAGCCCAGGATGCAGCTGGCCTTCTTTACTGCACCAGGTTCAACGTGTTGTCCACCAGGATCTCCATGTAGAACATCGTGAGGTTCCTGTCATCCCACTTCCCCAGCCCAGCCAGACCAGCCTGAGCAGCAGCCACGTCCTCCAGCATATCGACTGCCTTCTCAATTTGGTTTTATCCACAAACCTGCTGAGGGTGCACTCCCTCCCGTCACACAGGTCATTAATGACGACATTAATCATTATCGGTCCCATCATTGCTTCCCGAGGGATGCGCTAAGTCCTGGCTGCCCACAGGACTTTGTACCACTGATTACAATGCTTTGAGCCAGGCAGCCTGGCCAGTTTTCCACACCTTATCATCCACTTACTCAGCCAGAGTCCTGCCAGTTTAGTGAAAGGGAAACGAGGGGAGAAGGCGTCAAAGGCTTTGCTAAAGTCAAGGGATACAGCATCCGCTGCCCTTCCCTTGTCCACAGCACCAGTTCCCTCATCATAAAGAGCAACGATGTTGGTCAGGCACAATTTGCCCTTGGGAAATGCGTTTTGGCTGTTCCAAATCACCTTGTTGACCTTTGCTTGTTTAGAAATGGCTTTTAACACAAGAAGGACACAGAGCTGCTGGGGTAAGTCCAGAGGAGGCCACGAAGATGATGCGAGGGCTGGAACACCTCTGCTATGGAGACAGGCTGAGAGAGTTGGGATTGTTCAGCCTGGAGAAGAGAAGGCTCTGGGGTGATCTTATTGCAGCTTTCCAGTACCTAAAGGGGCTACAGGAAAGCTGGAGAGGGGCTTTTTACAAGGGCGTGTAGTGATAGGACAAGGGGCAATGGCTTTAAACTGAAAGAGGGGAGATTTAGGTTAGATATAAGAAAGAAATTCTTTACATTGAGGGTGGTGAGGCACTGGCACAGGTTGCCCAGAGAAGTTGTGGCTGCCCCATCCCTGGAAGTGTTCAAGGCCACGTTGGATGAGGCTTTGAGCAACCTGGTGTAGTGGAGGGTGTCCCTGCCCATGGCAGGGGGGTTGGAACTGGATGATCTTTGAGGTCCCTTCCAACCTGAACCATTCTGTGATTCTGTGATTCTATGATTTAGAGGAGCTAGTCCATAATCTTCCCCCAGGAATGAGATAAGGTCACGTGGCCCACAGTTTTTCTGGATCTTCCTTCTTGCTCTTCTGGAAGATGGGTGTGATATTTGCCTTTTACAGCTGTCATAAGCCTCCACCGCTTGCCACTCATCTTGTGAAGATGAGAGAAATTACTCCACTTTGGGGAACTAAGATCTACTTGGCCAGACTACGGCAGTGGAAGGTACAGTTATTACTGTTGCACGGCCAAGGAAGGGCTCGTATCTGTGGACCTGCCTCCACACGGACCCAGCTGCTTCCCCCTCACCTGTTTTGCTGCAGCAGATGCCAACGCGTTCTGTTTCAGGTACAGAGGAGCTGCCACGTTCCACAGCTTCTCCTGCAAGGCCTACAGAAGAAAACCATGAAACGATGATAAATACCCAGTTCAGCCTAAATATTACAGCCCCGTGCTAGATGGCCTTGGGAGCAGGGAAGACGCCCTGTGCCTCGGCTGTACACCCACAGCTTGGTTGAAAAAGGCCAAAGGTGTCTTTTATGGTTTCAAACACAACACAGAGAACAAAGGCCTCCAAAATACGTACTGTTCCATAAATACATGGAGAGATCTATACAACTATAAAGCAGTAATTGAGAATAATATTAATAAAACAATAAATGAGACCGGCTGAGCCAAACTCTCCAGTACTTTTTAAGGAGAGCTTTGTGCAGAATGAAGTCACCTATTAGAAAAAAAAAGTAACCCACTGCTTTATCACCACCCTGAGACTAAGATCAGGGCAACCTCAGACTGCAAGCAAAAAAGTGGAAATAATAACAACTGTCCCCAGAAACACACCTACAGAGTTGTACTTCTGAATCTTCCTGTTGACAGTCTCCACTCCACCAAAGATCCTGGAGTTACTAAGAATACTGAGTGTAATACTGATATTCATATTAAAAAAAACCCCACAAAACCACCCAACCACACCCTATTTGCTTTTTGATTTATGTTTAAAAATACTAAGAAAGCTTGACTGCACGATTTGCATCATCCCCTCCTTTCTGAAGCTGCCTGTCTTTGGATACAGCTACACACAAAGCTGGCTGTAGCCAAAGCTCAAGAACATACAGACTATATCCTTCACCTAGGCTGGCCCCAGAATCCCAGCGAAGTACTCCTAAAATCACAGAGGATGTAGAACCTGTAAAGGTCTGGAACCTTTTGAGCCTCGAGAGGCTGGGAAATGACGATACATTTTTCTCCCAATGGCTTCTTTCTCCTGGGGAAAGAAGCAATTGGAAAGAAATCTACTGAAAAGGGCTCCTCTGACATTGTATGATATCATGAGTTCCTGTCTGTTTCAGCCACATTACTGATTCCTCCACATCACTGACGTACTTTCTGCTCAACAGCTCGAGCCCAGCACGGCTGGTGCAGCGTTTACCCTCTTCTTCCAGACAGAGCTCTCCTCTTTGCTACAAAAACCACTGCTCTCTCAACTAATGTACACTGGCTCACTCCAGCCAAACCCTGGAGAAGGGCAACAAAGCCACCTCCAAACACTGGTCCTCTACCTGGATGGCACATTTTGCTTTGGTAAAAGTTTTGGATTTAGCTAGGAATGTACTGAACTGTAACACCACTCATCTAAAATACTTGTTTGGGAGAGGCTTTGAGCAACCTGGTGTAGTGGAGGGGGTCCCTGCCCGTGGCAGGGGGGCTGGATCTAGATGATCTTTGAGGTCCCTTCCAACCCAAACCATTCCATGATTCTATGATAAACATATTCCAAAGATTTGAGGGCTGCTGTGAGATCCACCAACTGGCAGCCATGCATTTAGCAAAGAAACTGAAATACCTTCTTGGTTTTACATAGCAAAGCTTTTACTGAGTCTCTTCCAGAAACCTGTTTGCTGCTTGCTTTAGGGCTTGCCTTACGTCTGTATAAATTACACTCAAACACCTAAAGAATGCCAGGAGACTAACTGAAATACTATTGTCAGCTTATAGCTTGTGAAGGGAAGGCAAAAATTAGTTCCTGTTTACAGCAAAAAGCTGACTTTGAAAAGGTTTGTTGCCATGGTGGCAAAGTAACCACTTCATCTGCTAATATAATAGATAATTTCAGCACTGTAAAAGAAAGCAGCACTGATATTTTGCTCAGTCAAGTCTAAAGAATTCCTTTGGCATCGGTGCCAAAAAAAGCTGCCTACAAAACACTGTCTATAAAACTCCACTAACAGCAGCAGTGTGGTGAAAAAGCATTCCAGTGGCCACCAGCAAAGAAAAGTAACTCTGGTAACAGAAAAGGCTACGGAGTAGCTGCCTCCGTTGTGATTCATGTCAGAAAATAAACTCTGCGCTGGCGAAACACACATGAACCAACGTCAGCCCTGAGTGCAACAGCAGAGATCTGCACCCGGGTACTCACTGGCAAAGTTACTGCGTAAATTATGTGCCACGGACTGGAAGCAGGAGTATCAGAAATCCAGGGAACCTGCACGTTCATCATTCATGTTTTCAGCACAAAAATCGAAACATGGAAGTGCACCACGAAGATGGACTGGGGGCATTTTTGAAGAACAAACCAAAAAACCCAGATGAAGGGGCGACTAAACTGGTCAAGGGGCTGGAAAATAAAACTTACGGGGAGCGGCTGAGGGAGTTGGGGCTGTTTAGCCTGGAGAAGAGGAGGCTGAGGGGAGACCTGATTACGGCCTACAAATACTTGAGAAAAGATGGTGGGGAGGTGGGGGAAGGGCTCTTTACATTAGTGATGGGTGATAGAACAAGAGGAAATGGGTATAAGCTCAGTCAGGGGAGATTCAGGTTGGATGTTAGGAAGTATTTCTTCTCTGAAAGGGTTGTCAGCCACTGGAATAGGCTGCCCAGGGAGGTGGTTGAGTCCCCATCCCTGGATGTGTTTAAGAATAGGGTGGATGATCTACTTGGGGATATGGTTTAATGGGGATTAGGGATGGTTGGACTCCATGATCTCTAAGGTCTTTTCCAACCTAGAAATCTATGAAATCTATGAAATCAAACCTTGATGAGGAGCAGCTGACACCGAAGGTAAGTTGCAGTGAAATCTGCCATCCCTGCCAGTTCTGACTGCAGCTCTCCAAGCCTCTGAAGATCACTGAAGCATGTGGGGGAAAAAAAAAAAAGAAAAAAAAACAACGTTGAGACAGCACGCAGGTTAATTTAAATGCACTCAGAACACAGCAACGCTGAAGCCAGCTATTCCTGCATCTCACTTTTTCTTATCCTTAGAATCAGCACTGGAAAGAGCAGCAGAGCACCTACTACAAACCAGTTTGCACCTTGGGACTTGGCATCTCCTTTCTTTCCGGAGGCTGAGCCGAGCGCGGCGTGGAAGCAGTAAGTCTGTCAACCCACATTACTCTGCAGCCCTATGGGGACCATAGAGCACAGCAGTTCCAGACTGAACTTAAACCACTCCAGCCTTCTGCTGGGAAATCTAACTATTCCTCTTGGCGAGCAAAGGTTGTTGGGAACACGTCGGGTTCCCACGAGCAAGCGTTTTTGGGATACAGCTGCTGCCTTTTTGAAACAAGCTGAAAGCTGATGTACTGGTGTTGGCCCAGCCAGCTGTTGTGTGCTGTCTGGTGTGAGTGTTTCTTGTAAATCACACAGCAGTAGAAGGAGCTTTTAACTTCACAGGAAAAAGACACAGTTAATGGCACCCAAAAAGGCTTTGGTCCTCTACTCTTAGACACGTTTTGAAATCAAAAGTGTGTATTGAGAAAACAAATCTCTTTTTTTTGTTACAGAACTGAAAATAGGTTGGATGATGTGGATTCAACATGCCTCTGCTCTTCTCTGCGTTTTTGCTTTGATCCAAAGTATACTAAAATTGTCACTCTACTTCCATGTTTCCTACAGTACTATTAAAAAGAGTATTTTTCCTTCAGATGACCCTTTCCTTTTGTTTACTTTAGATTTATCTTTGCATTTATGATGCAATTCTGAAACTTTGGCTCTGCCAAACCAGAAGGCTGCTGAGCGCTGACACATGCAAAAAAATCCATGAGATTATCTGTGTAATTTGCAGCCAAAGAAAATCTCTCCTAAGCAGAGGGGCTGTGCCTTCCTTAAATGCAAGAACAGCAGAGCCAGCCTGAGCCTTACAGTGACTCCATTTCATCTTTTCCCAGAGAGCTGAGAGCAGAGGAGACTCCTGGGTGCTCAATTCCCACGTTACACTTAATGCATCACAGCACACTAACAGGGAACAGGATGTCACCTCTCAGCTAACAGCCAGACAGATATTCTATTTCCCAATCTTCTACAGTTCCCAATTCCATTAATTCTATTTTGTTACAAATCTTAAACAGATTTCGGCATCCCTGCAAGACAAAAAAAAAAAAAAAAAAAAATTCCTGTTGTATGGATGGAGAAACTAAACCACAAAGACCGATTTGCTAAAAAGCTTGTCGTGCAGTTCCGGCTGCAGAGCCTGGGGGAAGAGTGTCAGTCTCGAGTGTGGTTGGAAAGCTGAGTCCCACGTCGACAGCAGCTCCACGGGGTCTGCGCTGCTCCCCCGATGACAAGAATGACAAAGGAGGAGGGAGTTACATCCCACCGCAGAATCCACGGCTGCCAGCGTCGTCCGCCCCTCTCCTCTCAGCAACCAAACTGCTGGTGCAGCAAGCTCTTGCCCTCTGCAAAACCACCTTTAACACTTTTAGGGTTTTGTCTTAAACCCTCAACATTCTCTCAGCGGTGGGAAACAGCAGCTGGTTGAGTACGGTTCCTGGGTGGTGAACCCAGCAGGAAAAAAGCCAACCAGTAATTTCCATCAACTCCAAAGCATGGCCGTCCTTTACTACCTATAAATTACGTATGCAGCCACCCCTGACACAATTTCTACACTCAAAATCCAAAACAATCACAGCCTGCAAGGCTTCCAGACCTCCATAGTGCCTACAAGGTTCTGGATGCTCCATCAAGAGATGAACCATTTCAAGGGTTTAGGGCATTAGGGCATTAAATGCTTTGAGATGATGTTTTAGGCCATGCACAGTAGCTCCAAACCAGCTGAAGACAAACCATGTAGTTTTCACAGCTGGTTTCACAGTGAGGAGCACCTTGTTTATTCTCCACTGCAGGTGGTGTGAAAGTGATTTATGGCTACACATACAGAAGAGGCAGCTATTTTGGGGGAAGGTAAAAAAAAAAAAAGCAAAAAGCTTTTTGGAATTCCATACTCCAAACAAAACATTTTATATTGTTTTTCTAACTCTCATTATAAGGCTCTTCTCTTTCCAAGCAGAGGAGTCACATCAGAAAAATCCTTTTCAAGTGTTTCGTTTGTGTAAATCAGTCCAGAGACAGAAGACACAGAATAAAACCCATGTTCAGAAGCCACACCATGTGGTCTTATCGACACAACAGCAGACAAGACCACGCAATAATACTGTCCCTTCCAGGAAAATCTTCACTCAGAGGATGATGAGGCACTGGAACAGGTTGCCCAGAGAAGTTGTGGCTGCCCCATCCCTGGAAGTGTTCAAGGCCAGGTTGGATGAGGCTTTGGGCAACCTGGTGTAGTGGAGGGTGTCCCTGCCCATGGCAGGGGGGTTGGAACTAGATGATCTTTGAGGTCCCTTCCAACCCAAACCATTCTATGATTCTATGAAAGTCTCTCTCTGATTTTCAAGCTGATGAAGAATGCCAAAGTCCTTTAGAAGCAAGACTGGCAAGAAGAACCTAACAAAGCACCAGAAGCGGATCTCTCTTGCTATATTAAAGGCCACAGGACCTGGAAAACGGGAGAGCAAAGGGGATAACCTCTCTCCTTGCCACAAAACCAAACCAAATAAACCTTGTGCACATACGTTACAAATAACACGATCAAAATGAGGGACTCGTACAGGGACAGAGAACTAAGAATGACACACAAGACTGTCACCCATAAACCACAACAACTGAGAGCGTGTTTTACCATAAGCGAACAATCCAAGAGCACCTTTACCTGACTCTTACCATGCTCTGAAAAGATGTTCCCCCCACAATGCACACTGATTATTCAGTGGAGCAGAGCCAAAGCCCAGACCAGCAGTTTTATTTTCAAGGGGCCGTGAATGCTGCTTTATCACAACGCTCTCTAGAAGAAGGCTCAGGCTAAGAGCTCGACAGCAAAGCACAACACTGATATTCAGAAGCAAAGCACCTGCTTCAGAGACATTTGGAATCCTAATCGATCTTCCCATGAAGAAGTCAGCTTGCAACCTTACCGGATGGTAAATTCCAGCAGCTCCTGTATGCCCTGCGGGTCGAGGTGCTGAAGGTTGTAAACCCTCTCCAGGCTCTGATGCAAGAACTGCTGGGAAGGATCTTCATGCGGTGTAATACTGGGAGAGACAGGTGAGGACACCAGCTTTCTACCTGGCAACTAAGCAAGAAGAAACACACACATGCAGAACAGTTTGGCACAAATAACGCTGTAAAATGCTGCCACGTTATTTAACAACTACCAACCAAGAGCTCAAATTCACTTCTCAAATTCAAAACTTGTATCAAGTCTTTCAGTTCTGCATCTTTGTTAGTTAACGCTCTCCGTTTTATAAGCCATCTGCAGACACCTTCAGGTTAAACTTCAACCTCCCTCTGAGAAAAACATCTTCCTCATCTACTAACTATGACACTAGGAAGTCGAGGGAAGTCCAAGACCGCACAAACCACAATTCATTTTATGAGCTGGAAGATGACTTAAGGTCAACTTCAGTCCCACCACTGCTTCCACGCAGAAAAAATATGCTTCGAAGCAGCAGAGAATACATCTCACCCACGAGTAAAATGTTTAGGTAGGACACAAGTCAAATGTTGGAAGATCTACAAAGACTAAGCCCCCTTCCCCACACAGTTGGAGCTACAGAAAGCTCCCAGGAATCCTGCCCACCCGGTACTCTTTCCTAACCAAAAAGCCATGTGCTATTCTCACTTGAGAGCAATAATGTTATTATTCTCAAAATATTACAAAATCCATATTGTAACAATTTAATATTTGGCCCTCCTTACTGACTGTACATTTCAATATTCGTTCCCTAGGAGCCTGGGAGGAAAACCTTAAGGAACCAAAGTGTTACAGGCTGACAGACACGGAATATTCAGCAATATTCCTAACAGTGGTGAAGTGCAAACCAAAGAGGTTCAACTCACTCTTAACGGAGGGACCAGATGGGAGAGACTGTCCCGAAGATAGGCATAATGTCTGAATGTATGATCAGAGAAGAGGGCAGGCATTGTTGGGCAACTTTTCGCAGCGTTAAAAATCAGAACCAGAACAGCAATGTCTATTGAAACGGACTGTTAAAGAAAAATAAACGACAGCAAGAAGAGCTCCTTGGGGACAGCAAGTTAAAACAACAACTCAACAACCCTTTCTTTGCTTGGGATTGTTTAAGAAGTTCTTTGCAGTAGAAGAACACTGAGCACAACCCAAAGAGGCAGCTGAGCAGATGAAAACAAACTACAAAGTGGGAACATCACAGGATGGGCCATACTGGAGGACGGATGTTACTGCCAACGTGGGATTGCTCAGAGCTGACACAAAGGATAGGAGCCAGGGATTATAAACGCTGAACACGCTCATTAGGTGGATTTTCAACTCTTCCTCAAAGCTTACACTGTGCTTACCAGTTTGGTACCCAAACACCATCTAAAATGAAACGTTTACCACTGAGTCTCTGAAAATTGCTGATGTCCCATGATGCTAGTCTCTGAAAAACACCCCTCTTACACCAATCAGAGAATCAAACACTGGAAGATGATTCTGGAATAGAAAAACTATTTTCACAGCCTGAGAGCTGGAGAAATACAGAGGGCAGCTAAAGGCTTCAGTTAATTAGCCTAATGGCTGAGGCACTCGCCTGCCACAGGGTGACCCCAGGCATTAAGGGTGACCCCAAGCATTAAGGGTGACCCCAAGCATTAAGACCTCTAACAGGAGAGCAGGAAAGGATCTCAGTCAAAGCTCACAATTGCCTGTCCTCTAACAGGAGAGCAGGAAAGGATCTCAGTGCAAAGCTCACGATCGCCTGGGCACTTGACTGCACAGAGAAGAAGCAGGTTCAGGCACAGAAGAGACTGAACCCACGTCTCACCTCCTGAAAAAATCTTCTGCATCCACGGGCTGCCAAGCATAAAGGCTTCCACTTGGTAAACCAACGTCTCCTCTTTGCCCAAAACCCTTTCCCAGTTTTCACCTGAAGCTATTCAACTAACCCAATTCAAATTTGCTAAGTGCTTCGAATCAGACAAAATCATGTTTTTAATTAACAATTTACACTGCAAACATACCATTCAGGTCTACCTTGTAGTTTCTGGCTCCCAGGCCTGTCTCCATATAATACATTTCCAAAAAATTTGGTGGCAAGTTACCTCCAGAACATTCTTTAAAATCATACTCTCTGGTTCAGAGCAGGAAAGTGCACTGAGCTAAAAATCAGTTTTCTCCTTCCCAACATCCCTTCAATCCTCAACTCATAGGACAAATTTACTCAAATTATTACTCAGCTATCTGATTAGGGATTAATCTTTCTCTCCACCTGATCCTGGCCCTTTTCTACTCTCACAAGGTTATTTATTTATTCTGTATAGAAGTTCTAGCCAATGGCCTGGGACCAGTGACAGAAATAAGAATAGCTTCACAAAGAGAGTTGTTTCAGTCTAACATCCCTCAGCATGCATCAGAAATAACATTACATTCTGCAATGGCACAGAAGGGAAGCAAGGAGAATGAAGAATGGAAAAATGGTATTTCACATTTCCAAGGCATCTCCTATTATTAAGGATAATGGTAAAACAATAACAGTTTGTATTCCAAAGCACCAGAAGTGTGAATATTATTATAAGGATTTCTGATTTTGAACTATTTCCAAAAGATGATAAATTTACACCACGACAGGGATCCAGCCACTGCTGCACTAAGAGACAGTACTGTTCCACACACTGCACAACAGGGAGGGTAAAGTTTTACCTAAAAAGAACACAAACAAGGAAAACCACTCTTACTTAAAAGCTAACCTGGGGTAGTGGAGGGTGTCCCTGCCCATGGCAGGGGGGTTGGAACTAGATGATCTTTGAGGTCCCTCCCAACCCAAACCATTCTATGATTCTAAAGCATCTTCAAAATTTGCTGCAAACTAGACAAATGTTTTCACATCAAAAGGCTCATCGACAAGGCCCAAACCTTGATAAATTGCTTTGTCAAGAAAGGCCAATTATACCACATTGGTATTTATGAAGATCATTCCAGATAACAGTAATTCCATCACTTGCTGAGTAATAAAACTAAGCAGGATCCAGAAATAGCTACAGGATTGTCTGCTACAGTTTGAAACGGTTTAACAAATGTGAGCATCAGGAAAACACGAATAAAATCTATTACAGTCAAAACAATCAACTGGCTGCATTAAAAAGATACAGGCTGGGTCATCCATGTCTGGCTCTGGAGTGTCAAAGAAGGGATGTGTGCTCAGCAGCTCTGGGACCAACGGAAGCACCAAAGTGGGATGCCTGCTTCCCAAGAACTTCAAGCATCTGAAAACACACAGATTGAAATATTTCTTAGTAAACATGTATGGTGCAAAATACATTTTAAAGCATTATTACTTCATGGTGTAGTGGCATTTTGAGGTGCTGGTCAGCATCAAAATCCTACTGTCCAACCCTACCGTCTCTTCACGGCACAGTATTTGCATTAATATTTCACAGGATCCAAGAAAATTGAGAGGGCAGTTGGAAAAAGGAAGCAGTAATAAAAATTGTTTACTTAAACTGTCCAAGAAATACTTAACACCTGGAGCTATACAACCCAAAAAAAGCTTTCATATGAAACACTAACAGACGAGGGTATTTTTTTTCTTCAGAAATAAAGGAGTGAAGAGGTAAAAACTCAACCAAACAGCAAAATCCCAAAACCTCAAACTCCACCGAAACAATGTAAGAGTGCAATAGAAGACAAAGCAGACTAAAATAAGCGTTGCCAACAATATCCAAGAATTCCATCTCAAACCATGTGTGCTGGAGCATCACTTCCTTTTTTGCTTCCATTAAACAACAAAAAAAAACCCCACACAAATGTTAATTAGTTTCGTTCAGACAGAAAAAGTCCCTTCAACAGCACGATGCCACACAGCCCATCCGCTTGTCATGATGGATACAGTCAACTGCTGGTCAATATCCCTACTTCATGCAGTATCAAGTAAACACAAAACATCAGTTGCACAGAAGAGATGAGGTTTTAAACTGAAAGTTGAATTCACCTTTTCTGGGAATGCTTTGAGTGCTATTTCCAGAAGTGGTCATCAGTTCTGTGTTCCCAGTAGGAGTTTTGACAAGCAAGAGCAATACAGAGTTTCTACGTCAGTCATGAATACCTACAATGCTTAGTTACAGCCACTATTCCAAATATTTACAGAACAACAGGATTGTGTACCCGTAATACCTGTTCCCTTCTTAGCTACCTTAATATTTGTCTGATGTCTCTACTACTCGAAAGAATAGGAAAATAAGTCGGCACATAAGGACACTGAACACACTCACTTCCATATGGATTCTCTGTCTGTGGGATACTTGGTCAGGTTCTTCAGCAGCTCCACCAGCGCCAGATGGATGCCTTCTTTAGTTGAGACATTGGTGCAACACAGCAGTTCATGAAGTGCTTCCCGAATGTCCCTCGAAGAATCCTAAAAACCAAACCCCAACCCAGACACCTATGAGTGCCGCGACAGGAGACGTGCCTGCATACACATTTCTCTAACCGCAGCAGTTCCTGCTCCTTGGCTGAATCAGTACTAGAGGCATCTGAAAATCAGTGCACATTTCTAGTTATCACAGCTAAGCACTGATGAAACAGGAAAGTTGGAGAGGGACCGACAGGAAAGCTGGGGAGGGACTTTTTACAAGGGCGTGTAGTGATAGGACAAGGGGCAATGGATTTAAACTGAAAGAGGGGAGATTTAGACTGGATATAAGGAAGAAATTCTTCACTCTGAGGGTGGTGAGGCACTGGAACAGGTTGCCCAGAGAAGTTCTAGATGCCCCATCCCTGGAAGTGTTCCAGGCCAGGTTGGATGAGGCTTTGAGCAACCTGGTGTAGAGGAGGGTGTCCCTCCCCACGGCAGAGGGGCTGGAACTAGATGATCTTTGAGGTCCCTTCCAACCCAAACCATTCTGTAATTCTATGAAGTGACAAACCAGGCAACTTCTGCAGGGTCTCCTGCTGGTCTCATCCACCCACATGCTTCATTTACTGGAATGAATGGGAACTGCTTCACCACTGATCTTCTCAAGCAAAGCAAGAATCACTATTTGGTTCAGGTGATGCTGTACCCTTAGGCATTGGCAGTAAAATAAAAGGAAGATGCTGGATAACTCAACAAAACAATCACCAAAGATTGTTTCGTTGTCTTCGGAGAAGCCTTTTATCATTCAACACAGGAAGCTCAATTCCACAAGCCTTAACCCAGTCTCCAGCCTCAACAGGGTTTGTGCAAGCGTTGAGGACATGTCAATGGCTGGACAGACCAAATTAACAGTGATCATCTACAGGATAAAGGAACTCAACCTAACTACGGGTTTATAGGTGGACAATGAAAAAAAAAAAACCCAACAACAACAAAAAAAACCAAACCACACTTACAAGTTCCGTGAGGAACTTTGTTTCGATCACACAGGAGCCCTAATGTACCGCTTTTGAAGTCCCACTGCACCCATTTCATTTTTTAGGCCAGGGTGACATTGTGCAGAGGAGCTTATGTAATGTCCCAGCAGTATTTTCAGAAAGGCTGTGGCTGAACTCCAGCTTAATTAATTACACCCCTTCTGCCAAAACCCACCTTGCCGTTCCGTATCAATGTGTTCTACTTCCTTCCTATCAGCATTTGTGTGGTACTGCTGGATAGAATGTGAAAATTTGACAGGATACCAGAACTGGATGAGTTTCAATAGTGGATTTTTTTTTTTTTTTTTAAATTATAATTTGCTAAGTGTCAAGAGCTCATTCATCACTGTCTAACACAAAAGAAGAAAGAGCAGTTCTTTTGTAAAGGCTCTTAAATGAGGGCCAACACACACAAAGCTCAAAGGAGGAAAGCACAGCAGGGCTGCTCAGCCATTCCTAATTTTGGTGGTGAAAGGCAGACTACGGCCAATAGAGAAGACATGCTCTAAGGACTGGAATCAAAGGACCATGGACACAAAATACTCCAAGTGAGTTGCCCAGACCACTGGAAGGGCAGTACAGAGACAAGCAAGGCAGAAGTGATAGAGAGGAGCACAACTCAACAGAAACTGAGATCAAGGACAACAGGCAAAGAATCCAAAGCCTGGGCAGAAAAGCAAGGAGAAGATGGTAGAGTTATCCAGATAAAGTCAAAGCATTGGGGTGAAAACAGAAGTTCCCCTCGCACTCAACTGTTCCATACTTACACTCTCAAAACAAACGCAGACACCAAAGTTAATGTTATTTTTCCATATCCTTTATCTTGGTACTGGAAGATGGATTTTACAGAAAGCAAGCAAGGACCTTTCAGAATTAGACAAACCCATTAAAATGTTAATAATTCTCACACTTCAGCTATCCTAATACCTGATAAAAATTATGATAATATAAACCATAATACAAGTATGATTTAATCATAGATGATAAGTCAGCACAGAAGTGTAAGACAGAACCCCAGCCTAACTACGACGTTTTTACACCTTGATGCACAAGTTTCTTCCTGGGGCACAACTGAAACAGGCCACTGTTGCCCTGGGTGAAACAAAGTGCAAGTAAAAAGGCAGAAACAGCAGATTTGCAGCACTGCCCGAGGCTGGGAGACTATCCAAAAGAAGCAGAGACGTGCCTACTACATGCAGTAGAATCAAAAAAAACCCAAACAAACGCCTTAAGGGCTACAGCTCAGCAAATAAAACAGGTTTGAGGGGAAGCAGTTTGGCACAGCACTGTTTATACAGCTGAAATCTCTTCCCCTTCCCAAGTCAAACCTGTCAACTGGGAATGGCAGCTGACTCACACTGTCCCCTGGATCCTGGTTGAGCACTGACTGGTTGGGAAAGGCCAAATCTACACTGCAGAGCACATCAGCAAACTCTGAACAGGCAGAAGAGAGATTTCAGACCCGTGCCCTGTCTCTGCGTGGTGTGCAAAGATGTAGCCAAAGCAGGTGAAGGAGGGAAACAGAACAAAAACGAAGCTGTGCAGAGTGCTGGACCACAAAATGAGACAGAAACACACATGAGGCAACAGCACAGTGATCAAGGGAAGAGTTTTTATCTGAAACACATCTGTTTCAAAAGCATTCTGTTGTCCTGGAGATGACAAGCTGCAAGACCATAGGAGCCTTTGGGGATGGTCAAAGAAAAGGAAAAAAAAAAAACAAACCACAAAACAACAAAAAAGGGGGACAGTTCCAGCTCAGAGGAAGAGGCTCATTAGTTTTATATAATTACAACACCTCAAAGAGAGCATTTTTTTTTTCCCTCCTCAGGAATTTCTTACCTCCAAGACAGCTAACACAGTATCCAGCTGGTCTTCCCGCAGCGTGATGTTGTTGGAAATTTTTCTCATTGTGTGTATTGACTGCAACCTCACCTCCTCAATTTCGTCATTAAACATGTCAACCAAGAAATCCAGGCATTTCTCCGCAAAAGAAGGCGAGGACTGAGCCAACATACAGAGGGCTTCCACCGCAGCGATCCGAACCTCTGTGAAAGGACAGGGAGGGAATTATTTGTCAGTGCTATTTAAAAGGACATACCACCCAACAGCCAGGCCTCCTATTTTCCAGGACTGGGCTAAGGACAGGAGATGCTAAAGAAACACTGAGGATGCTGGAGACGAAGTAGGCACCCATGCCATGAGGGACCTTTTCACAGGCAAGTCTTCAAACAAGCCCCAGAGATCAGCGTTTCAGCAGCAAACAGAACGAAATTCCTCTGCTTCGTGACTTCAGATTCCTCAAAAGAAAGATAGAAGGTGCCACCTAGTTATTAAAATTTAAGCAAAAAAGCACCAAAAGGTGTCTGGAGTGTATTCATGCTGTAAAACATAGCAGGAATTTGAAGAATACCCAAATATAACAAGCTTAAGTGGAGACAAGATTCTCTGCCCTGCAGCCATCCTCGCTAGCTTCCACATTTATGTGCGGGGATCATAAAAATAAGAATTAATCTGATGTCTTGCAAACATTATTGTTGCAAACATACTTTTATTTTCCATTTGAACTAGCTCATCTTGAAAACATTTACTTAAACTCGCGTGTAGCTTTCAGGCCTATTGTTCATACAGAACATATTCGATTCCTGATGATTCCAATTAAGCAGAAAAATGCAAACACAGCGAGACCTCTGCTTATTCAGTAATGAAGCTTTTGTCACAACTACGAGCCTCTGTGGTCATGAAGACCAAAGTATCACATTTTGGTGATCAGAAGAAAAACATTTTGCCAACATTGCTTCCCTAAGCTGACACCCTAATTCAGATTTAGGTTACAACACGGAATTCAAGAAAGGAAGCAGCGCTGTGAGTAAGGAAGAAGAGAGCTCAGCAGTATTTAAAAACGTTGCAGTGGGAAGAGAGAGACCTACATTATTTAAGGATGTGTATATTCCACATCTGACAATTTTATCCCCATTCCCCAATAGCACCACACTGCCACAAGACCTACGGCACGAGGAATTGGAGAACGTGTTTCACAGGTCGATGGCCTGAGCCAGTGAAAAATTTTTTACTGGTAGTCAGAAAAAAAACCTTCAGGGAAAAAAAAGCTTCAGGGAGAGTTTAGCTCTGAGGAAAACAGGCTTTTATTTGCGGGAGTCATGGAACAATAAGCCACTTTTTACAACACAATCTACAGCGATATTTTTGTTATGGTGGTTTCGTGCTTTCTAATTTAGCCTCGTCCTTCTGGTAACATCAAAAGCAAATTCAGGAATGACGTTCAGAGCTCAGCATTTTCACTGTTCTGTGCAAATACCAGCCCTTCTCAATAGCCTGAAGAAATATACATCTTCCCTTTACCCACGGGAAAGCTGGGCTGGAAAGAGCGGCACGCAGACTTTCCTGAGGCCACCAGCATGCTCAGTGCTCCAGCCAAACTCAGGAGCTCAGGAATTCCCGTGTTCCAGTTTGACACTCGTCATTCACCCCGCTTACAAGAACAGATCTAATCTGCTGGAAAGACACTATCCAAATCCAGCATAGCAAGACCTCAAGAAATCTAAACAATAGCACCATAGAACAGGTAAATATAGAATCATGGAATGGTTTGGGTTGGAAGGGACCTCAAAGACCATCCAGTTCC